GGACGTGCTCTAACACATTAATATGGGCGCCGAAATGAAAACCACGTTCCCTAGCCACCACGCACACGTCACACACATGTGTTCCAGTGTTTTTTAAGGCTTGGTTGATCTCCAGAATGTAATATCTCCATACATTCACGCCAAAATATCGGCTGTACTTATGTTTCAGTTTTTTTTTTTTAATAATACATAATTATATTATTGTGTTTTTTTGTTATATATAATTAGAAGTGCATAAGTGATGCCGCCACTAAATAGCAGTTTTATTTGTCACATTCCAAGGCACAATGTAAAGTAAGCAAAGCAGTGAAATAAGGGCAGCGGGGCAGATTGTACAAAACTGCAAAAAAATAGTTTTTCTTTCAATATTTTGAAAAATGTCACATATGGCCTGAAATATTCCAACATTTGATGATATTGAAGCTTACTGTTTTTTTGCCACTGGTGTGTCTTTCTACATTGACTACCATTTCCACCGTCACTACCTCATTGTTGGTGCATGGTCTGCTATTTTCTCACGACTCTTTTTGGAAGAGGATGCTCTTTGATTCACAGGACACAGGCCACTCAGTAATAAACTCATCAGGCACGTGTCCATAACAAAGCGATCCCCCTGCCAGCATGTCTCTCTGAGGTCGTATGGAAAGATTCATGACATGTTTAACTGTCGTGCACTTACCCAAGGCGTACAATTTATCCCCTTGGATACCTCTAACTGATCATCTTCCTACAGAGTCCAATGTACTTCCTGTGGCTCCACCACTCACTTAAAAGTAACGACTTGCCCCCGTTTCGAGTCCCAATTTTACCGACATGAAAGGTGGTTGTCATGGGCAAATAAGAGGACTGGATGACTTTAGGGAAAAGGGTCAAACCGCACGATGAGAGTGTATGGTTCTGTCTCCTGAAAACCCATCCAGCAACCGGAAGCAACTGGGTTAAAGGCTACAGCCACAATTACTATGTAGAAGTCAGAGTGCTGTCACAGCCTCCTGTCGGAGATGTAAAAATGACTGTGTGTGTGTGTGTGTGTGTCCGTCTTATGTTTCTTGAAACGGTGTGTAATTAAACCTCAGGCAGTGAGGTGAGTTGAATCAGAACCTATAGCATTGTCCCTTTTGTGCACTAAATTGAAGCAAAAATGTAAAATAGTTTTTTCTCTCATTAATTTTTAACCACATTAATGTTGTGACTCAAGGGATATACCTGTGTCTCTTGAATAAATATTTCTACAATCAGGGGCAAGGGAAATTCCTGGTCCCCAGAGGATGAATCCTACTTGGATTCAATTTAAATTTAATTTGAGCTGTTTTTAGCCACTCTAGTGGCTCAATGGGTGGCAAAGGCAGTCTGTCCACCACTTTGGTCCAGACTGAAATAAACAATAGGATGGATAACTGAAATTTTGTACAAACATTCATGGTCCCAAAACCATGAATCCTACTTACTGTGGTAATCCCATGACGTTTCCTCTAGCACCATCAGCAGCCAAAGTTTTATCTTATCCAGTGAAACATCCCAATACTCACTGGATAGATTGGCATAAAATTTATATAGATATTCATCAAAGAAGAAGGGGAAAAATCTTAATGACTGGTGATCCCCTGACTTTTCCTCTAGCACCACCATGATAATTAGGTTGCTGTGAAATTTGACATAGATATCCATTGGGGCCCAGAGGATGAATACTAATACCATGTGGGGCCCCAAGAACTCAGATTGCTCAGCATGAGCTGCTTGTGTTTTCTCCAACCACTTCCCCATGCCAGTAGATTGTTGAACATTGATAACATGGGGCTCAATAATCTGCAATTACAGTGTGTTTGATGACATACATCTTGATCACCACTCTGTATCAGTGAATAAAACACCTTAGATATGACTGCATGGAATAGTCTTATCTTCATTATTCAAACAACACAGACCTTCCCCTTGTTGCTTGTATTACTAAGTCAATGAAATAATGTCAACAGAGATTGTGGAATAAAATCAAAGCTTGATTCAGCCCGATCAAATATAATACATGTATCTTTTGTTGTGGTTCTGTCAACAGGAGAAATCCGACTCTGAACTATTAAAAAAGCCCTACAGTGTAGGCGGGACATGGGACTCCCTCATGTCAAGTATAAATCTGGCTCAGTCTTGTATATTTTGATTCACTGGCTGCATAAGAGGTTCAGCAATACAGTGCATGTCTAGTCAGTCCAACAAATACAGCTGTTATATCAAAATATGCAGGGATCAAAGCAAATGTCTCTGAATATGTACCTGGCTATTCATGAGTAATTTTCATAGCATTACAGTGAGAAAATGTCATTGCTTTAATGGAACAGTGGGTATGTTTTTCCTGTTCCTCTGTGACGACAACGCAGTGACTTCAGCTCATCATATGAACTGCATTACCTGTACCAGTGCACCCGGAGCATTTGCTGTCCCAGACATTACCACATTTTGCCATTTTTCGAACATATTGTCATATTGAGTCCTGGCTCGCAGCACTACTTCTGGAATAGCCTACTGAATTCCCTTATGCCAGCTAGTGGACACTTTGCCAGTAACTGTCACTTGTGGTTAAGCAGCATGGATTGGGGACAAGTCCATTAAGTGGGTCATGAGTTTTACCCAGGCCTCAAAGTCTGAAATCCTATCCCTCGATATTGTAAAAACAGTATCAGACTCTTTTTTTCTTTTCCTTGTCAAAAGCATCTGAAGAATGCACTCCCGTTTGCAGCAAGTGCTATGATGAGTGTCCCCTCAGGGCGATGACCAACAGGGAAATCAGGGCAATGCTGGGGTCAATGTAGCCTTTTTTAATACTACATGTTCAAGGCGTGAATGTTGCCTCTTCATTCCTCCTCACCCCTTCTGTATAAAAGGTACAAACACATAAAGGGGGGGCATCGCTGTTCTGGCAATAAGCCGACTTAGAAGGTAGTCACAGAGCCGGATGGGCATCCGTGTGTGAGTGAGAGCCAGCGCGGCGGGACAGACGCCAACACCGTTGTTGCACATCACGCCTCTGATCTAAGAATGCCGGCAGGCTATCTAAATTCACACTGGGGCAGCATTATGCTTTGTTTGGTTCATTGTAAACATGCAAAGCTGGCACATTGAGGGGTCTTCCCAACAACAATATATCTGGATCTCTGTTTTCAAAGAGCTAGTGTAAATTGGAAGTTATGTTAACACAGGCTTTAAGTGTATGTGTGTGTGTGCGTGCGTGCGTGCGTGCATGCGTGCATGCGTGTGTGTGTGCACATGTGCGTGTGTGTGTATATATAAAAAATGAAGAATGGGTTCAGCATCAGGGCAGAGTAGGAGATTGGGCAGCGGCTCTGTTTATACACAGGACCTGCATGAGTCATCGCGTGAAGGCGAATCTAACAGCAGCATGTCATATCAAGACATCGCCCCACTCTCAACCGCTCGCTTGATTTCTCCTCACTGTGCAGATTGCCAACTGTTGTTATTGTCTTCCAGTGTTATTAATTTCCACATTCCTGAAGATAGTGTCATATAATCAGTGAATTTTGCAACTAAACTCATTCACCTCAACTGGTTAAAGCTTGCTAAATATGCAGGCTAAACTGACACGAGCACTGAATTCTGTGCATTAAGGTTCAAATTTAAAGACTTAAAGAGTCCTTGATTTCCACCCTCTAAAAATATCCATACACAATACAGTGCCCTCCAGTGTGCACCACCAAATATTAGTGTTACTCTGCTGACTCATTTAGCCACCAGTACCAGTCGGTGATAGTGGTACAGTTTGCCACAGTTATTTAGTGCTTCACAGCCAAACCCAGGACCTCAGCAATGTAAACATTTGCCTGTTTAGCATTAGCATGAAGCCCCAGAATGCCCCTGTGTTTGATATTATGTGGTCCTGTTGGAGGGAAAAAATGTCAGGCCTAATTTACAGAGCCATATGCACATGTGATGCTTATTTTCAGAGGCTTAATTAGTTATGAAGGCTCTTTTGGTTTGGTTTGTGGCTTTGAGGGAACAGAGAGGCATGTCATATTCAAATGGAGCATGTATTGTGTAGTGTCATCATTTCAGTGGAAAATCAACCCACATTCTTAAACATGGACCAGGGATTTCACTCAAACATATAAGTCTCTACACATGTAGTTCTCAATTTAAAATTTAAAATTCTATATAATGGAGACAACAGGAGTTGAGTTTCAGTTGTATTTACACAATTTATTGCTGGAAATGAAAAGAAATAAAACAGCCGAGAAAGGGTTTGCTGAGGTAGCAGAGAACAGACATAGCTTTGGTCTGGACCAGTGGCAAGTGGAAGAGATTATAGTATAGTATTGGTTTTATGCTGTGGTAGATAACGGGTGGAGCAGAGGCATCCTTCGGCAGTAATGTCAGGTTACAGAAAACCCAAATGCAAATGCCTGGGAGGCTGAGACCTCTAATGTCCATGATTGTCCCGTTGGCCATGTGTACCAGCCTAAATCAGCCCTCCAGTTCATACTGTCGTGTCGTGTCCATTTTATACATGCACACACATACTCGCAGAGCAGCACAGCCAGACACACATGCAGCCTGAGGGTAGTAAGCAGATATAGCATACCACAGCAGGCAGTATGTGAACCAGTCTTGGTTGGTAACACCCATCTCCCGGGCCACATGCAGCCTCACCAGTGGCACCTCCAGTAGTTGAGCTCTAACCTCCACAGTGTGTCTCTAACACACACAAATACACCCACAGACTTGCACAGACCTTTGTGTCTAAGCACACATGTAAAACCAAAAATTAATTTTGAAAATGTTTCTCCGTCTGTTGTTTTCTGATTGTGCAACTGGCAGAAGCTACTTGTGTGAATATTATTAAAAAAAAAGGTTTGTTTGATTAGAGGGATATTAGGTTCTACAGAAGATAACCCATTTATTTCCTCAGTGATCAGACACGCAGCTGGTTTGACACTATAAAGGGTTAATTCCCGAACCTTCTGTAATCATCTGTGTGTGTCTTTGTTTTTCAGTCAGTGGTGAAAACCGGACGTTTGCTCATCAGTCACGAGGCTCCAGTCACCGGAGGCTTTGCTGCTGAAATCAGCTCCACAGTGCAGGTGAGTGTGTGTCTGTGCCTGTGTGTGTGAGAACATACTGTATTTGATGAGATTTTATTGGGCTCTGTCGCTCCCAGGGGTAGGAGGTGGTCTTCAAAGGTACCGGTCTTAATAGGTTGGAGTGGTTTTGTCAATAAAAGCTCCACTTTGTAATAAAGCTAAAATAGCCTTTCACTGAATGCCTCAGAGCAGCAGAGGCACTGTGCTACCCCCCACCACAACCCTGTATTCAGCTACAGAAGTGTTTGACAAGGCATTGGGCAGGGAGTTAGCGGCAGAAGGGGATCCCCAGAAAAATGAGCAACAATAGTCATTTAATTCACAATAGATTTTCTCAGAGCGGTTTAAGAAGGGCTTTTTGTCATGAAATTCATTTTGATTACCATTATCCTTGTTTCACAGTGTGCACAACAGAAAACTCAACAATTCTAAACCAATTCAGAATGTTTTTGTGTGCCTCCGAAGGATGAAATATTTTTCAAATTGGGTCTGTTGTAGGAGGGGTTGTGACATTAAAACACTGACAGCACCTAATATGCTACAGTTTGAAGTAATTTGCGCTAAAAATCACACTGCTCCTCTTCCAAGGTGTAACTCCATCAAAGCTAAAGAGAGAGATGATATGAATACAGTTAGATTGGGTGTGATTTACCAATGATGTATGTTCTCACTTAGAAATCAAAGCAAAAGCTGCTTCAGATCTTGCCTCACAGTCATCATATTTAGTATCAAAATGAATCCAGTAGTTTTATCTGTACATTCAGGGCTATGCAAACAGAAACTGCTAATGGCTAATTCAGCTTTTCCATGGTCTGAATTGGCTAAAATGTAAACCATTATACAACAGTTAGTTCAGACCAAGTTATGTGATTGGATGAGAGTCATTCCACAAGTGCTCATATAGAGTACAACAGCACTGTGATGAAAACCTGTGGACATACAGGCAAAAAGAAAATCTTATGATTTTTACATTGCATAAAACTTTTATGAACACTGTCCTAGAACATATAGAGTACCAACAACATACAGATTAATGGGATTTCTGAGCAGTCCAACATCTTTTGAAAAGTGAGTTAAAAGCCTCTAAAAGTGTCATGGACTCCATGTGTTAATGAATACCAGACGACTAATTACATTCTACTAAGGAGTAGCTTCGCTGTGAATCTGTAAAGCTGCACAGAGGGTGTTTTCTGTCACTCGTCAGGGACTGCTGATACAGTGGCGCTAACTACCCATATAAGGTTTACGAAATATTGCTTGTTGCTGGCAATAGAGAAGGCCTGGACACTGTAACCAAGACATGCCAGAGACAGCGGATGACAAAGTCTGAGCTAAGTGTGATGCATGACTAAATGAAAAGTCCTCCCCTTCCCATCATCCTAATTACATCTATATTTGCGTGGTGAGATAATTATCTTCAGTATGTGTGGCGTTTTCTCCCTGTGACTTCCACTCTCCTCTCAATGAGCAGTTTGTGTCTGAACAATGACAACTCTCCTTTTTGTACCTGCCTCCTCAGAAGTCATCAGAGTAATCGTATGCACAAACACTGTATGTGTTACCTGGAGCAGTTTCCTTGTTTCTGTGCATGAAGTCAGAGTTGAAGCTGTAAAATCGATCGATCCTCTCCTCATTTACTGTCGGTCAGACGTTGCTCCCTCCCCCCTGTGGGTGAGGGCTGAAATGGTCAGTGAGTCATCCCCCTCATTTCCATGTTTCCACATTGTGTATGGGTGATGTAAGTTGTTGGTGTGTTCACTGATTGCATTGAATTGCAGTTTTCACATGGCCTCAAGCAAGTTGGATGCTCTTGTTGGAAAGAAACCTTTGGAGTGGTTGCTGGTTGTGTTTTAAAAAGGATACAGTTTGACCCACAGGCCGCTGTCACACTGTTAAACTCTACATTACATTAGAGTTACTCCTTGTTCAAAGAGACTGCGATATGCTCACTTTAAACACACACCATCTTTCTCTCTTATAAAAGGTATAATGGCCTCCAGTAGCCTATAACAGTCAATCAGCCATTCCTCATAGGTGATGTTTTAATGCTCAGCACAAGAGACTGTAGTATCTCTTAATAATAAACCGTCTGCTTCACCTAGCAGCAGTTATCAAGCTTTGCCTTAATATCTTTAACGTGCTTGTGAGAACTATTGTGGCCAACATACAAATGTTTGGAACCAGGGGTATAAAATTCAAATAGGTCCAGTTGGACAAAATTAAAATAACATCTCTAATAATAATTAAATGTTCTTTTCTCATTTCAAGGAAAATAAACGCTGTAATAAGTAAAACGTACATAACAAGGAGCTTTTGAAAAATATATTTAATTAAAACGAATTGCTTAATTTTAGGAAAATTGAATAAAAAGTATAGCTTGACTTTTCCTTTTTTTTTAATAACTCCATTTCACATCTTATTTGTCTTAACCAGTTTTATAATAACAGTCTCAACACATCTTTACAACTGAAAAGCTTGAACACCTCCTTGTGTCTTTCTATCCCTCTTATATCCCACTTTTCCCACTTATCTGATGTTGTCTATCATCTCTTCTCTCCCTGCGTGTATCTAACTCACTGATTCAAATCACAATCATTGGCTAAGTAGCATGACAAGACCAGTACGGTTAAGGCTAGAAAAGCCGCGCCGGTTGAAATGGAAACACTTAATAAATTTGATAATTCTCAATAATTTATAGGTTATAGGTCCAGGTCCAGACGGGACGGCATCTGGATCCGAGTCCAGATCCGGACCGTGGTCCGCCTATTACTGACTTCTGGTATATACCAAGTATATGGACGTACAGTAGAGAGGTGGATTATGCTGCTTAAGTGCTTTGAGAGGAGTTTGTGGCTGTTTTGATTGTTTTTCCTTCACTGTGAATCTGGGTCACCATTGGAATCCATTATAACCGCTGTGAATCTAAGCTGACTGCAACCACCACAGCCTGCGAGAGAGCAGAACATCTTTCACATCTGCAGTGGATGATATTCAAGAAGACAGATTTTGGAAGTATTGTTTTAATTCATCAAATTCACCAGATTGCAAAGTGAGGTCATAACCTCAAAAAAATAATAAGTGGATGTGGTGGAGGCTAGGCTGTACATTTCTAGATAAAATATGATTTCAATATTTTATTTTTTAATTTTGAGTTTCTCACCCAGAAAGGCATGATCAGGATTTTCTGTAACACTTCTTAATGAAGTCATTTTTAATAATTACATTTATTAAGTATCTTTTTATGCAGATAGAAACACAACATAATTGTAATTATTTCTAATGTTTTGTCCACAACCATTTTAATTGGGTATTAATATATTAAAAAATGCCTTTTTAATAACCAATTCAATATAATACCAGCGCTCACTGCAGCTTCAATACTTCACATAGAGATAGATCAACTAGGGTTTTAACTAACAATTATTTTCATTATCAATTAATGTACTGATTTTCTTGATTTATCAATTGATCATTTGGTCTGCAAAATGTCAGAATATGGTGAACAATGGGCATCGCAATTTACACATTGACATTTTCAAATTGCAACAGAGGAAAAGGGGCCCAAAACTCTGAAACCACTTTGACAACGGCCTTGATAATGGGATGATAAGATGCTAAAAATAAGCTTTTAGCAGAAATATTGAGTCACACATCCTCAGAAACTTCAACAACATCCTGACTTTGAGGATATCAGAGTGAGACTAATACAGATCAACAGCAGTGTGCATTAAGGTCTTAACTTGTACCACACCTCCTTGTTTACTCGTGTGGTCTCGTTGGCAATCAAGGGACAAAAAGATTAACTGGTTGTCAGTAAAGCTTGTGTAGTCCAGCCACTGTTGTCTCGGTTGTGTTGTTTTAAGTTAAGTCTGTTATTTCTGGAGAGAGTGGCTTCAAACACTACCTATCAACCTTGGGCGCTTCCAGAAAGATCCATTTATGGATTTGATTTTCTATTTCATATTAAGAACAGAGGGGAGTTTGGTAGTTCTTGGCAGGTTTTCCTTTATCAGACTTTGGCTGCAGCCCTCATGATTTAATAATGTGTCATTGGTTGGCCCTTCCCCGAGTGTTTGGCTGATGACTGAATAGGACAGAGTAGGGCAGAACGAGATGTGGCTAAAGACAATGCTTTCATGGACCTCAGGGATGCACAGAGAGAAGTGGTGAATCACCCTCCTCCCCTCAACTCTACAAACCACTACAGACTTGACTATAGTTGATTCCAAAAAGTCCAAGCTTTGGCTGATCAGTTTGGCTTCAGAGAAATATAATAATTTTTCCACTGGTTGCGAAAGATGTAATGAAATGCTGTATAATTGTGACCACTATGAGAACTATATAACTATTGGCTGCTCAGAACGATTAGAGAGAAGTGCAGATAACATCCCAGATGTACAAAATAGTATTACAGAAGGTATTTTTGTAGCTAAAGTTGTCTATTTTCCACACAGCCATACATCACACTGCATTGAATCGTGTGGCACTGTCACTGATGGGGTCTCAGAATTAACTATGGGGCCCTTGGATTTACTGCTTCTAGTTCCACTGTTTAATTCGAACCAACAGCATCCAACATCCAGCCCAGCATTTCCTGCAGAGTTGTGGTACTATTCTGGGATGTGGTTCAAAGGCTACCGACTCCACTCCAGCCCAGTTGGTGTTAGCTTAGGATGAAGGTTTTCATGTTTTCTGCCTTCTGAATCAGAAACAGACCACCGGTCTCCTGTCAGACTCTACTGACTGAGAATCTCAGGAGTCCCAAGGCCTGGGGCGTTGTGCTGCACTGTAAAAGTCATGGTAGCCCCCCTGTGACTTTCTCCATCAGGAGATACACTAAATTGCCTTCAAAGGACAGTGTTTATACAGGAAGGCTCCTTTAGAGGGCTTGTGAATTGGATACAGGTACCATCACGTTGGTTAAGGGAGTTATGGAGGTTATATAATGTTGGACCGCTGCTGCTTGTTCCTATCAGTTGCTTAATACCCTAAAGCTTGAT